CTTGTTTCCAATTATTATTTTCTTTTTTTTTTTGAAATCTCTCGACCATTTTTATTTCTTCCCAAAAAATCCCAAAAGTGGCAACAATGCTTGTTATTGTGTATATGTATTTAGTTCTTCGATCTTTCAAAAAAAAAAAAAAAAAACAGCTTAAATCAATAGCTGTAGATAATTGTGTTGGCCGTTATGGGGGCTTGGATATGCTTATGATGAAGTTGTACAAGTTAATGTCAAGATAATAATACATTATAAGGGATTAAGATATACCTTTCAGATCGATCTATAAATTAACTAAAAACTAGTAAGACAAACAAAAATCGATGAAGATCGAGCACGCGATTCTCTACACTAATACACACACAGACATAAATTTATAAATGTATTTATTTTAAATCTATTTATTTTGGAGCGGATTAAAGAAAACATTGCTACGAGAATGTTAACGAAATTATTGCTGAAGAACAGTTCCTAGGGCCTGACTCCAAAATATTAGGAACAAAGAAAAAAATCCGTTAAATATTCTGTTAAAATCTTAAGAATACAGAATATACGGAGTTACCCTTACATTGGGGTATATACGAAAAAGTGGATGTTCATAAACAATTTTTGTCATAACTTGAAACAATTCCGAGGGAGGTTATATCATAAACCATTAGCAACTTCAAATACGATATTTGAAACAATTCCGGTGAATAATGTAGTCAAAATTATCAAAATACCGAATATAGGGAGGTACTATTTTATGGAGACTATACGAGGAAATAGACCTGCACAAACAATTTTCTGTCACAGGCTGTAGTACCCATTACGAAGTGCAAATACAAAATTTAAAACTATTTTGTTGAATAAGGTAGCTAAAATCAACAATATACCGAATATAGGGAGATACAGAAAAAGTAAGTGGGGGTATTCGAAGTTCTGGACCTGCATAGATAAATTTTTGTCATAAATTTAATTTTAGTAAATTATATTAATAAAAAATGAGTAGGATTCGAAAAATAATGACTCCAATTTATTCTGAGATTGAGTATTAAAAAATGTCAATGTAATAATAACAAACAGTATTTTATTTAAATTTTTGAGACACTATTATTTAAATTAAAATAAAACGAGTTACAATGTTGTTTATCAATGGCAATGTCTGTTTATCAAAATAAATGTTGACTTGCGTTATGATTAATTAAATGTTTACCCCGAATGTTGGGAAAGGTATAGGCCAATATTTTTTACCTATTTAACTATATCAACTCTTCCTTCAGTCTATATCATATATTTAATAATTTTTGGAAAATGTTAAAATGTCCGTGCTGTTCCAGATATAGCGGCCTAATGTATTCGACTTCGTCTAATACTAATAAAAATATGGGATGCAAAATTTAATGAAAATTTAAGAGGAATTTATGCGAAGAGGTGTTAATCAAAATGTTAACCTGTTGTGAAAAAGAAGCCAATATAGCATACATCAGATCTTAGATTGAGATAAATATTTAGAGGTTCTAGATGTATCCCATCGTCACACCAGATCTTGGGTAAATAGAATGTAGTGCTCCGTTCTATCCGTCTTTCATGTGAGATCTTGTGTGGATTGAAATATTGAGATGCTAGAAATTTGAAGTCATTCCAACTCCCATGTCACATTTTATAAAATTTATAATTATTCAAAATTTTGACCCTTTGTGTGGAATGTACCAGAAGGAGTGGTCCGATACATTCCATATTTTCACCTGGTGTTGTTCTCATAGAAATAATGGAATGTGCCAAGTTTGAAAGTAATCGGATGCTCATTTCGCGTTTTATGAACTTCATAGATATTCAAAGTTTTGACCCTTTGTGGGGGATGCACTAGATTGAATAAACCTCTATATTCCATCTTCACACCAGACCTTGGTTTAATAAAAATATTTTAATGTGTACAATATGAAAACAATTTGGCTCTTACATCACATTTTATAAGAGTTATTGATGAAGTACACCGATATTGACCGTTTTCGCACCTGACCTAGCACTGATGCAAATATAAGGTTTTGCAAAGTTAGAGCAAAATCGGATTATCCTTTGTCTCTTTCTGTACAATAAAATATTTTTTTGAACTTTTCGTTTTGACCAAATCGGATACTCCCTTCGAGAGTTATCGTGCTCACTGCCCAGACAGACAGACGCACGAACGGACGGACATCGCTAAATCGACTCCAACTGTCCGGAAACGGCTTTGGTTCAAAGAGACCTAGAGTAAAAATACCAAATATCGGGAAGTGCAATCATATAGCGCTATATAAAAACGTGGGCCTGACTTGTGAACTTTTAAATAATTCCCTTTAAAGGTTAAAGTCTTTTTTATTACAACTTGAACTGATATAGCAGTCCTCGCATACTGGAAACGTAAACTACCAATTTACAGTAAATTAGGGTTAAAACTATGACTAAAATGCCAAAAACACCTAAAATCGACCAGCACCGTTAACCCTCATCTATGCCATACCGTGGACCTAAATGAACCAATTTCAGTACCAAAAATTCAGCGGGTGTATATTTGTATGTAAAAATGTTATATATCGACAGAATTTAATCAGGAATGTTAATCAGGAATATATACATGTTGTGCGGTCTAAAATGTAGATTTCGAGGAATTATAAAGGGAATAACAATAACAAAATGCTGGAAGATCAACTCCTCTTGAACATTATTTGCAAAGCAGAATTAATCCAAAGATTCTCTAAAAAATATTTTTGGTTTTTACGATTTCTATTCTCTGACATTTTTTGAACATATCGAAAATAGAGTGAATCGAAATTTTTTCCTCCTTTAAAAATAGGAACAATAAAATACAAAATCTGGTATAGCTGTTATATGAGGGGTTACACCAAAAGATGCGCCCATAACAACATTTTCTGCTGGTATTTTTTTAGAGAATGTAAATCCGCATTGTATTCTCTAAGATTCCTCCAAAATTTTCAAAGTTTGACATACTGTGTATAACATTAAACTGTAATAGGCTTCTAACTGAACCCAAAAACGTGTATTCTATACTTATTCGGGTAGGAATTAGTTTCATTAAAAATTTTAAAGTAGTAGAGGGTATATAATGTATGCCACTTTCTCTTCGGGTCATATACTTTCCAATGCTTAAAAAAATGAGTTTTACTCAATTCATACAGGCAATGCAGCAACATGTTTTTTGAATACCTTAAACCTTCCTGAATGGGCATATAACGGAATTTTTTCGAGCAATTACTTTCAAAACAACACCGCTTTTGATTGCCAAACAAAAGACTTAAGCAACAAACGCGAAAATGAATAAAGTACCATTGGGATAAGGACCTATTAGACAAGCTTTTAAGTTAATAACACACATTGTCAACATTGGATTGGATATAGATTTTAGCAATACTTCAGACCAGACATAACTAATTAAATATTGCCGTTTCTTTCTGGCTGCTCCTTTTGTTGATGTTTTTGGCATATTTAAATTTTCCACTCACCAAAGGGATGGCAAAATACAAATTTTATCAAAATAAAAAAACAGGACAATACAAAACATTTTAAATGCATTTAACATCTAAATTATAGTCACACCAAGCAACTTTAAGCCATTGGGGACCCTTAGTAAGAGTGAATATTTTCATATATTCACATCAGACTTCAATTCTGATTCTAAAACCAATACCGCCTCCAAATGGGTTAAGAAAAAAAAAAAACACAACAAATGACTACACACCATATTCTCCGTATCAGCAGGTAGCATTAGAGGATAGGTTTTTATATGGCTTTTATTGGGCATTCAAGTAGATTTTTATTTGAGGGTCAGCGCTTGGCAAAAACGAACTCCAGATATATAAGTTTAAGTATTCTGTGAAAATTAATGAATGGTTTTTAAAGTGGGTATGTTGGAAACAACAACAGCAATATAGGCTCCCACTTGTCCTCTCTTTCGCCCTCTCTTTCTCATGAAATGGTCTATGCCTGCTGACAACATTCAGCGATTATCAGACAGGATGTTTTATAAAACACAATCATGCCACCGCCGCCACCACGACCACCATCGCCCCACACTCTTAATTTTCGCCTTTAGAGGCCAGCGAGTAATTTAAGAAGCTGTATGGTGGTTATGTTTTGTTTGTATAGCTGATGTATCTTTTTTATTGCTGGTGTTAGATTTGCACACACGAGTCGTGGACAAAAAGTCAAGGTTGGTCAAAATCACAGACACACACACACGGGCGAACAACGAGGAATGGTCATAGCCCATGTTAGAAAAATATGCGAAACATCAATGGCCGGTAGAAGGATGCTCATTTAAGTTTTATATGAATCATTTGGTGTGTGGAAATTTTTTTGTTACTCCGGTGATCTGTCTCGAGATTTATAGGGGGTCGTTTTTGGCCTCTAACAATATTAATCTGGTCTTAGGATTTGGCATGCTTAAAATGTTTTATTTTCTTTTTTTTATTATTATATGTCATTTAAATTTCATGACAACACTCAGCATCTTGTGGGGGTATGATTCATTTACCCAATGCCTGTCTGCTGCCTCTTAAGAGTTATCAGCAAAAATTTAATTTCAATAAATTTCATTGATGTCATTTATAATGATTTGTCTGGCGGTCTGGAGAAAAAACAAAAAAATTGCAGACATGCAAAAAAAGCGAAATCATTAAATTATGTGGGAACTGTTTGAAGAACGAATGAACGAAAGTGAAACGATATGCCGAATTGAAATCAATTAAAAATTGATGACATTTATAAAAAAGACTCAGGCGACCTCCATTTTGAAATTGAACACACCCAAGTTTTTAAAGCTTGGAACTTTATCCCCAGACCTTGCAACTCAAGCAAATATATTAGTCATGCAAGTTTCAGTGAAATAGTTTTGAGAATTTTATGTGAAAAACTTTTATTTTCAGTGGGAATCTGCAAAAATAAAAAAAAAAACAATAAATAAAAAAATAAATATCAATCTTTCACCTAATTTAACAGTATTTTTTGTTTTATTTCCTTTACAGTTTAAATTATGTCGAGGATTGAAAAACGAAAGCAGCCGCAATAATGGTTAGGCCATAATTCCCAAAAGGTAAGCACGAATACTCAAAGACCTAAAATGGTAAAGACTAGACAAAATGCATTTTGAGCAAATGGTTTGTGTCTACAATACATAGAGTAATAGCTCATTGCACAAACATGATAATATAAAAACCACAATTGCAGAAACGAATATCAAATAAAAATTGAAAAAAATCCAATATTTTGGTAACCAAATTATATTCCATAGACTTTTTCAAAAATTTGCATATTGCCTTAGCGTTTTAAATCAGTTAACATTTGTAACTATGTTGTTATGATATCGTAACAAGAGAGGTATTTTCACAGGGTTACCATATCTTGACTCTGTCTTGTCCTATCTTTACACTTCTATGTCTTTGGAATACTATCGATTAGTGAATAAAGACGGGAAAATTCCTCTTTAAAATTCCTATTTTTGGTACTTGTAGTTTCTGCTAAAAAAGGATTTGTGGCTAGAAATTTAAATTAGATATTTCAAATAATATTCAACAAAGCCGCAATCTTATGTTCCCCGTATTCTTTCAAAAGTTAAAAAAAAATTAATATATATTTGTATATATTATATATATTATATATAATTATATATATATTATATATAATTATATATATATTATATATAATTATATATATATTATATATAAAAAAATTGTAATTCCTCGAAATACTTATCGGATTTTTTTCAAATTTCTTATTTGAAGATCTTAGTGGGTACTACAGCCTATGACAATAAAAAAAAAACGTATGCTGGTCCATGTCTTCGTAGTCCCCTTTTACCCGTTTTTATTTAGGCGGTATTTTTTGACGGATCTTTTTTTTGAAAAATGTCAAGTTTCTTAAAAATGCTGGAGGGTTTTAAATATTAAGCCGGGCAAACAAAGCTGCCTTTTTGCTTGTCTTTTTTGCGGCTGGGAGTTGTTTGCAGGGTCCTTTATATCACAGTAAATACGGGGTAAGATAAAAAATCTGCGGCAAAGTCAAGCGCCACAATTTTTACAGTTTTTTTTTTTAATTTTATTGAATGTAACCAAAAAATGGTGGAAATAACATTAAATTTTAAAAAAAATTTAGATTTTTTCGAATTGGTCACCTTTGTCACGAATTATGGCCTTCAAACGGCCAATGAAACTGTCTCACGCTACCTGAATGTTTAATTTGTCCTATTCTCGGCGAAGGGATTGCTTGAGGCGATCGACACTTTGGTATTTTTTAGTGCCAACCTTGCATTCTAGACACAATAGTCCAAAGGATTGGTATCCGGAGATTTTGGTGGCCATTGTGTGCTGAAAATGAAGCGAGGAACCTCATTTTGCAACCATTCTTGGGTCCAAGGCTTTAATACACCCTCCAGAATATTTTCGCGATAATTAATATTCGACAATTATGTTGATCGATTAATTCGAGCGGAGAGCGACGATCAGCCGGCCCACACCATCACCATGGCCGGCGTTTCTGTTCTGGTGGCCAACCGAAGGTGCACATTTTCAGCTGACCTCTTTGGCAAGTAAACACGTTCGTTTTGTTTGTTTAAGAACTGCTGGACAACGAATGTTTTCTTATCGGAGAAAACCAAATTCGACAGTTCACCACTTTCGGCCAAGCGAAGCAACTCTTTAGCTCTTTTGAGTCTATTTTTTTGTGTTAGCAAAAATATTTGAATGTGTGCAATTTGAAGAGAGTTACATACTTATTTCGTTTTCTTTGAGTGTTTTGTTTTCAAAATCTTGAACCCTATGTGGGGAAGGTACCAGAAGAAGTAGACTGATCTCTACCATCTTTATAACAGATCTTGTGTTGATGGGCGGACGGACATCTCTAGATCGACTCCAAATGTCCTGAAACGGATTTGGTCCAAGGATACCCAGTGTCTAAAACCGAGGCACTGGTTTGGGCGTATCAAATGATATATACCCCTTCTAGCGATATGTCTGAGGGTATATAAAAATCTTGTTTATAGATCTATAATTGTGGCCTTTATAGCAACTGCAGCAGTTTTTTCATTTTTTTCAGGTTTTAGTCCATTTTGACTCCTAATAATATTACGATCGTCTACAAAAAATATGCTTATATTCTGTCTCTATCCCTACCTCCATGCGTGAGGATATGACCATAAATACAGCCTGTAGCGTGATCACAAATAACATGGACAGACGGACACACATGCATAGTAGATCGATTCAGCTCGGTGAGACCACCATATGTTATATGTCGAAGACCAAGGTTTCTAGGTGTTGACCTAATCAAGCTTATAATACCCCCAGTGTTGCAGGATATAAAAATATTATCCTCAATTTTGCTTCGAACGAAGGAATTAAAAATATAAAATATAGACAAATCAAAAATCTAAAAATTTTTTTTTATGGAAATAAGGTATAATTATACCCTACAACACTATGTGTTGGGGGTATTATAAGTTTGATTGGGCCAAAAATTATGTAACACCTCGAAATATTGGTTTCCCACATAGGAAGGTATATATGGATCTTCCTAGCTCGCCGAACTGAGTCGATCTAGCTATGTATGTCCGTCCGTCCGTCTGTCCGTCTGTCCATGTTAATTTGTAATCACTCTTCAGGTCGCAATTATGGCCCGATCTTCACGAAATTTAGAATGGAGGTGGGTCTGGGGTCAGAATAGAACCCTATTTCTTTTGGAGATGATCGCCAAATGTTTAGGGGTTGAAATGGACCAAATACTGAAAAAATTTCGGATTTTGCAGTAGCTATACAGGTCGCAATTATAGACCAATCGACGCGGAATTTCGCATGTAGCTAGAGTTTAGGGCGGGGAAGAGGCCTACCAATTTGGGTGGTCATCGGATAATATTTAGCGGGTAAAATAGACCATATCTTTTGTGTTGAAAAAATTCAAAATTTTTCATTAAACCGCGAATATTTTAAATCCCGGCTAAATCACAAAGCCATGACAAGGTTACCTCTGATCTTTACATTGATGTTAACATCCAACAAATCGGATATATAGCAAAATATGTGCGATATATATGTCTATCAAAGAAGATATGCTTAAAAGATCTCTTATATGTCGAGAACGGCTGAACTGATTTCGACAGTTCTCATTAATTCAGAATGACCTCTTGTTAGGAAAGAAAAAACGTCCAAAAAAATCGCATAAAAATATCCCTCTAAGGATGAAAATATTGATTTTGTAACATGTTCTCATATTTTTTCAATTTTGTCATATTTTTGGCATATTTTCATTTTGAATTAAACATTTGGTAATATTTCTACAGCTAACAAAACTAAGTAGTTAGGATATTAGGATATCATATACAGATCGCATTTATGGCCCGATCCTTACGAAATTTTGCATGGGGATAAGATGAGGGTCAGAATAGATGCCTACCCTATTTGGAGATGATCGCTATATATTTAGGGGTTGAAATGGATCAAAAAACTGCCAAATTGTCAGCAGGTCGTAATTATCGCCCGATCCTCACGCTCATTTGAATGGGGGTTACCGCACATTGCAAAAGCCAAGCAGTTTCGGATGGCCATCCAAAAATATTCAATGTGTGAAATAGTTTGCCAACTTTTGTAGACTAAATACGAAAATGAAAAGACGCATTTCTGACTATTTCGTTAACGCTGATTTCGTTGAAGAATATAGCCAAATGTCTGTATCTCCTATAGATGCGTTTCAGTCAAAAACCAATAATAAATGTTAATCTTTTGCCACTTCTGAGAGATTGTAGGTCTTTGGGAAATATTGGTTCCAAATCTAGGAAGACCATTTACCAATAAATTGGAAATGAGCAAATTCGTTTAAGTTGCTATTATTCGAAAATTAGAGAACGAAACCTGATGGTTTTCTTTTATTATTTGTCACAATATCTTGTGGAATTCTTTCGAGTATCTTGTCTATATAAACTGTATCGTTTATTATAGTGTTGTAGGGTATTCAACGGTCGGCCCAGCTCGACTGTAGCCTTTGCTTACTTGTTTTAGTTATAGGCTAGGTTTATTTATATTAAAATGTCATTATTGCTACAGCATTACCATCTATCTTATTTTTTCAAATTTTGATCTGATTACAAAAGACGAGGGATACTTATAAAATGGGTCTGAAATCAAAAACTAATGCCTAAATTTTTCGAATTTTTTTTTAATTTTTTTTTTAGATTTAAAAATAAAGTCACAATTTTAATAATTTTTAATACCAAAAAATATACAAAAAATATCTTTCTCTATTCTAAGCCTTTCCGGTTTTTTAACCAAAATTCGTGTATGTGTCTTAAGTCTTTTGTTTTGCACAAAAACCATAACCAACAAATACATGTTAAATTATAGACTTACAAGAGCCATTTAAAACAATGTCAACTCATTCAAAATCTTAATTAAGTAAATAAAGAAAAATGTGTACAAAAACAATATTTAAAAAAGAAATATATTGTTGTTGTTGTAACACACATGATAAATAAATCCCCAAGAAGAAGAAGAAGAAGATGCGTGTGTGTGTTTTATTGGTGTGGTATTAAGGTCAAACTAATATAAGGCCTATTTAACAATAACATTTAACAAAAAGAAGATTTTTTTTGGACATCATCAATCAATTTGAAACAATACAAAAGAGCTGAGTTGTTCTTGAAATATGCTTTGGCAGAACACGAAGATATTCAAACTATAGATAGTAACCAAATATAAATACATTTGAGTTATGGAGGTACATATATGCATACATATGTTTATTTGTATGTATGAAAGTTATGTTAAATGTTTTGTAGGTTGGTTAGGCTTAGTATTCTAAAACAGAAAATCGAGTTCTGTCTGAGTTGCGTAGTTTTTTTTTGAAATATACTTAAAAATTGTTGAATCATTACTTTTTTCTGTTCATTTGTTTGTTTTTTAGTTAGTTTAAGTGTTATTCACATGTGTGTGTTGTCTTCATTTGTTTGTTTTCATTGTTTCTGCTTTGGTTTATTTGGCTAAGCCTAAAGTATCAACTTCCCGAAATCGTTTGAAAGTATGAAGTTTTCTCATAGCTCTTTTTAGACCA